TTTGTTTTCAGAGGTAGGGAACTATACAGGAGGAGATTTCTCACCTTTCTCCCATAGTAGATTCATAATTCATGCCTTTGAGTTGGCAGCATAACTACTTGCTTATTCCCATAGACTGCCAAAAGAACAAACAGATATACCTTGGAGAAAGGACAGAGTGCCTCTGAGCAGTAAGGAAGACAAAGCTTTATCTCACATACTTTGATTACGTTGTTGAGAGGCACCTTTCCTTGGAAAGGGACATCATGTTTGGAAAAGGACTAGACCTCCAGAACTCCCTGTAATTAGGAAGCAGACCTGCAAATTTGGGAGAAAGAACCCCCCAAAAGCCAAAACTCCAGGATTCCTTTTTGTAAAATGAGATAAAGTACTTTTAAATTTAGAGAGAACATAAATGTCTGGAAAAATACTGTGATTATTATGCAATGAAAAGTAAGGTGAAATTTGCCTTGTGACAATGGTAAATAATACTATTGTTATTATGTTGTTAAATACTCTATGAACAATAGTTCTCAACCCTGCCCTATCCTTCCCATCCTTATCAACCCCTACACAGTTCAGCCAATTGCCTCAAACACTATTATCAGTCCAATTGAAGGTCATCCTCTCTTTCACTAACCTTCTACCTTTTGAACCATAATGTCCCTTTCCAAGGCATGGCGCCTCCTAACAACATGATCCAAGTATGTGAGACAAAGTTTTGTCTTCCTTACTGCTAGGAAGCACTCTACTTGCACTTTCTCTAAAGCGTATCTGTCTATTCTTGTGGCAATCCATGGAAAATCACTGTTTTCCAACATCACAATTCAGAGGCAGCAATTATTCTCATGTCACCTTTATATAAATGAAATTAAATGAAATGAAACATATAAAGATCAACATTCTAGGCATTAGCAAGCTCAGATGGACTGATGTTGGCCAATTTGTACAACAATTTGGACAAACATAATCTATGCAAGGAATGAAAAACAGAAGGAGAATGGTGTTGCATTCATAGTCTGAAAGACCTTTCAGGATCTATCCTGCAGTACAATGCTGTAAGTGATAAAATACTATCCATACATGTACAAAGATGAACTGTTTAATACAGCTGTTCTTCAAAGATGAATACCAACAGCTAAAGCCAAAAATAAGGGAATTGAGGAATTATGTGAATTTTGCTATCTGAAATCAATCAAACATGCAGTCAGGATGCAATAATAATTGGTAACTAAAATGCAAAAGTTGGAAATAGTGTAGAAGGAATGATAATTTGAAATTACGGAATTGTGGACAGAAATATGTTGTTG